ATATATATTTCTAGCATAAAATATTCATGGGCTCTGTAAGTTTAGGTATCTAGGATTAAAACCTAATCTGAAATATCTCTTGGTATATTGTGTTCCTTTATTTTCTTGGGGGGTAATTGGTGTAGTGCTTACTCAGAGATATTGCGATTGCTAGTTAGATTGGGATTAGGGTTTTTATTGGCTGATTTTTTTTTTTTTTTCAAATGTGATTCTTGAGTAAAGTGTAGTAGTAGGGTGGGAATTTTATTTGGTTATTATGGGTTTGCCTTGTTCTTGTTTTTTTATGCAAATTCAAGTTTGCAGGGGAACTGCTGGGCAGTTTCAATTATCAGATTTTTTTAAGGCAAATATATAAATTTTTTGAAATTTTGTTAGAAGGCATGGAATTTGTTGTTGCAAATTGCCTGTATTTTACTTTAGTTTCTTTTTGGCTAATGTGATGCATGAGTCTGCCGTCCTTTTATAAGTTTTATCTACAAATTTACAGGGAAAATATTGGTGCTTTCTTCACTATATTAGATACATGTCTTGAAAGCATTGTCGTTATATGAGTATGAGCATTGTAATTGTTTTCCTAGTTATAGTTTCAATTGATAAATATTTAGAACTATTAAAAAAATCATATTACTATAGGTAAAATTTATGCAATAATGCATCTACCAGATTTCCAAACAACAATAATGTATTTCCTAGGTTGCATCCAGATGCTAACCAAATTGCAAAAACCCATTTGCAGGTAATGCATTACGCCAGTGATGTATTTCACATAAAATATATTTCTAGGTATTGAAACCACTCCATAGTGTTGTATTACTCTTCATATGAGTGAGAAATTCTAGGGTTTCTATGTATTCCAGGCAATGCAAAGGAAGCAAAGTTTATGTTTTCTTGTTTAGCAAGTCTGGTTTATTGAACTTGAGGAGCCAGTAATGGGTCAGTTTTCATTTTTATTTGCTTTTATAGTCGAGTTATTCAAAGTTCTAGAACAATAGGTACATTGCTCTAGTGAACGTTCTCTTTTTGTTTTTGTTTTGTTCCATGTTTTATTGCTAGTTTTAATTTGTTCTTTTGTTTTCAATGTTTTAAAAAAAATGCTGGTCTTGATTTATGTATGGTGCAGAGAAAATGGAAGAGAAATCAAGAAAAGTGATAAGAAAAGAAGCTAGGGCTCAAAAGCGAAAGAATCGGTTCTCATCATGGATAGAGCATAAGGTTTGATGAATGCAATAATGTTGATTATTTTATTTTTAGAGGGTATTAAGTTGTTCTAGCATTTGGGTGTTTGGGGTTTTTATAAAAATTGTTTTTTTCTCTATTGGTTTGTTCTTCTGTTTCTATCATGCTGAAAAACCAAGTAAAAAGTCAATTGTTTGACCATTTTAAATTTTCAGTTCCATATTAGTTTTTTCTCTTGTGCGTTGCAATTATGCTGAAAAACTGAGAACATTGTTAACAAATTAGGTATTTTAATTTTCAGACTTCTAGGAAAATGAGTTTTGAAACAAACTCGTCGAATACAGTTGAGAAGCCGCCTTTGATTGTATCAAGTAAAACTTCAATTGGAGATGAAACTTTGATCAAACAACGGCCCTCAAAGAAAGCAAATATGAATCATGACTCTTCACAAAAACTCTCAAATGAAAATCATGATGGTAAAGCTGTGAAGAACACAGGGAACAACTCCAAAAGAAGTTTAAAAGTAAAGGATAAGAAATTAAAGAAAACCAAGAAGAAAAACACTGGGAAGTCCAAGACAAAGTTTGAACAGTATCTTGAGATGGACATGAATAAGGGGGTTTCAGCTGAAGAAGATCTTGAGATGGAGAGAAAGCTTGCGAAGAAATTGAAGGTAAATGAAGGCAAATTACGAGGTGTTGATGATGGTATGAATGCATTGATTTTGGGGTTTCCTAATGTTGATGATTTGACCGATGGAGAAGATGACATCAATGGTGATGAAGATATCGACCTTCCTAAACATGCTAAAGGGAAGAGAAATGCGCTTTCCATGAATGCTCCAAAAACTTCAATGGATTTTTCTGAAAAGGAAAGTTTAGGAGCTGAAGATGAGGAGGTATCATCTGAAGACCAAGAGAAGGTATCTCGTGATGACCTAGATGATACACTTATGGAAGAATTATCAGGAGAAGAAGATGATAGGAACACAAATGAAGGTAGTATTGATATTTCTGAACTAGAAGGATACGAAAATAATTCTTGTGAGCTAAAACCATGTGCAACTGAGAGCCCAAATGCAAGATTGGTAATTGAAGAGCCTAGTGCCAAAGATGGGAATGTGAAGTATGTCGCACCCCATTTGAGATCTCGTGTGGATGGTGAATCCGAAGATTTTTCTCAGATCCGGCGCCAGGTAAGAGGTAATAGTGAACTTTACTGGGACATTTTTTTCTTTTTTTTCCCTAGTGGTCAAGGTTTAAAAAACGGATCGGTGACCCAGATCGGCCACTCCAAAAACCATGTCGGATCGGTGTACGGTGATCCGGATCGGAGAATCGGTCGGACCAGTCGGTCTCAGCCTAAAAAATTTCAAAAAATCACTATAATTCTCAAAAATCTAATTTTTTAGGTTTCTAAAAGAAATAGTGGCAATTGCATTATGTTTTTTCATTATTGTGTCAAAAAATATGTAAATATTGAGAACCTATTTCATGTTGAGTATTTGTTGTCTATTAAATTCATTTTATAGTCAAAATAAAGTTTAAAATGCAATATGATAATAAAATGAACCTCTCTAATTCAATTTATTTTTTATTTAATTTAGAAATTTTGATTTTTGAAAGAAGCTATATAGAACAAATTTAGTGGAAGAGGTTGTTAGTAGAAAGAGCGAGAGAGAGAGAGAGAGAAAGAGAGGTTGTTAGTTTGTGTGTGTATATATATAGAGAGAGAGAAAGAGAGAGAGAGAGAGAGAGAGAGAGAGAGAGAGAGATCGACAAGTGGTGGGTGGGAGAGAGAGAGAGAGACGAACCGTAAGTTTACGTTTGTCGGTGGTAGAAGTAAGTAGGACGTAATTCGTCCGACGTACAAAGTATTAAGTAGTAGTCTTAATACTATACTAATAAACGCCTACTATAGTTGTT